TCTTGGGGGTAGCCATCCTGGGGCTTCCTGATGCGCCATCACGGGGGCACTTGGGAGCGCTCTCTGAAACAGAAATATGAGTAAGTCATACCCCTGTTTAAAATCCTTCAGAGGCTCCTCATTGTCTGTAGGATAAAATCTGGACTCCACAGACCCTTGGGGGCCTGTGTGATCCTTGCATCCTCTGCAGCCCCATCTTGGGCCACCTACACACCAGCTTACATGGCCATATTGACTTACTTTTAGTTGATGACACAACTTGAGTGGTAGTTTCTAGACTTTTGCAGTGTTGGTCCCTGTATCTGACACACCCTTCAATATCCTCCTCATCAGCTTAATCTCTGTGACTTTCCTGCCCTAGCTTGAAGGCTACTTCAGAGAACCAGCCCCTAAATAGGTGAGCATGTTAGTTTCCTATGGCTACTGTAACAAATCACCACAAATTATTTTATAGTTCTAGAGGTCAGAGGTGTGAAATCTAGGAGTCAGCGGGGCTGTGTTCCGATCGAAGGCTCTAGGGGAAGATCCTTGCCAACTCCAGCATCTAGAGGCCACTTGCATTGCTTGGTTCACGGCCCCTCCCTCCATCTTCAAAGCCAGGCACATAGCATCTTTCTCTCTTTTCTGATATCTGCTTGGTTCTTACATCTTTATATACCTGACCCTTCTGCCTCCCACTTCTTAGCACCTTCATGGTAAAATTGGGCTACCTGGATAAGATAGTATAACCTCCCCATTTCAAGATCCTCAGTTTAATCATATCTACAAAGTCCCTTTGCCTGGCATTTTTCCAGGGCAGAGATATGACCTTGGTGTCAGTGTGCAGGTGGATGGTATGTCCCCTGTAACAGTTACAGTAGCATGGTGGAGGAGGGGAGCACTGGGTAAAGCTCCAAGGAGAAAACCTTGACAGCAGGAGTGAGGAGGGCGTTTCAGATTATCAGAATAGCACTCGCAGAAGCATGGAAAAAGGAAGCAGCATGTTGTATTTGAGGAGCGGGGTGAAGTGCTATCTGGATGGCTGTAAAGTGGGAGGCTGTATACTGGAGTGAGGCCAGGGCCAGAAGTAGAATCTGTTTGCCTCATCTCCGATTTAATGATAAATTCCAAGAAGTCCGTATGCTGCCATCTCAACTTGTTAAATCCTTCAGCAGCAATTATTGCTCACTCTGTGGACCTCCATTAAATACTTATTGATGAGAAGCCTTTCCCAATAGCGAAAGTCTCCCACACTTGCTTCATCTCGCTAGATATTATTAGATGATAGGGCAGATGAGTCACTTTTATGGCATGCATCTCGCCTTGTGTCTGATGAGACTTGCTTTCAAACTGGAGCCCAGTTTATTCTCCTGGTTCACCCCTGGAGTGAGTCCCTTTCAACCCTATCATTGTATTTCTCTGGGTTTGGGCTTAGGAGGGTGTTTAGTCGAAGCAAGTTATTGTATACAAGTGATGCAGTGATACACTGACCTCGTTCCTGAGCCTGGGACTATGCTCTCACTGCCTCCTCCTGCCTGGCATGCTGCTCAGACAGGGTAAGTTACTGTTAGAGCAGTATGGCTCAGTGTGCCCGCGACAAGAAAAGAAAAGAAAGACACTGTTAAATGTCATTTCTTCTTATTCCCCCACGTCAAACTCTATTGCCATTGATGCCACCATTCAAACAAATGTTCTAATTTACAGTTTCTGAGAACTTTTGGAAAAATGGATCAAAACCCCAGGTTACCTGAAATACTGCAGTTACATGTTTTAATGGCCCTAAAAATTATATTTTGTCAAAATGAAATAGAATTTTGAAAGGCTTCATAATAGTTGTGAAAAACAGCCAGCCTCTTCATATACACTCATCACAGAGCTGCTCTTTTGAATAGCTCAGCACACTCTGCAAATAATATCTCATTAAATCTTCTTACCTTCCTGGGAAGAAGCGAGCAGCAATAGCTTTCAGACTGCTTTCTTCTCATACAATAGGGGGTGTTCCTGCTGCCTCAAAAGAAGCTCGAAGTAACCACAGCCTTCCTAGGTTGAGAGTTTTTTATCTTCACGCTATAACTCAGAATACATCCCAACAACTTCTCTGCTTTATGAGGTACATTGGGCCTTCCCACCACCAGGATGCAGGTCTACTTGCCAGCCAGTCAGTGCCCTTTTCAGTCTTCACTGAGTCCTGGCTCTGTGCTTGAAGCTGAGATCCAGAGGTGAAGAAAACACCATATCTACTCTTAAGAGGCTTACTGTCTGGTAAGCAGGAAAGCACAATAGCAGGTTTTTGCAACAGAACGGTGTGTGATTTGCTAAAGTAGGTCAGAGATCAGCTAACCCAAGCTAGGTGTCAGAAAAACCATCCTGGCCTCCTTCTACTCTGTCAACTCCCTGACGGCTGTATCCCCAGTTCTGTGGCAGACACTGTGGATTAGCTAATCCTGTTCCCAACTCCTTTTTCTTGCTGGTTCCCACAGGAATGGCTGCAAAACTAAATGCTTGCTTTTCCAGACTCCCATGTAGCTAGAGTAGCCGTATGACCTACTTCTGGCCAATGAGACAGAAGCAAAATCTACACGAAGGTTCTGAAAAAGCCTTGTGTTCTTGGCTAAGAGGGACAACCAGTCTAGTATAGCACCTTGAACCTTCTTCTTGCCTCGATTGTATTCATGATGGCTGTAGCTACAGCAGCAATCTTGTGATCAAGAGGGGAAAGCTGAGAGAATTGGAGGTCATTAGTGAGCTAATGATCCAATGCCACCAGCTGTCAACTCCTAGACTTTTTGTCATATGAGAAACAACCTCGATTTGTTCAAGCCACTGAGGTTAAGCTTCTAGGACTTGCAGGTAAATGCATCCCTCACTGATAAGTCATAAATAATGTGCACCTGAGTTGGGTCTTGACCGATTAAGGTATGCTAGGAGTATTTCAGTTGTAGGAAACTGAAATAGCATATACAAAAACTTGAAGCAGGAAGCCATGAGGAGCACAAAGAAACTACTGACAAGTAGTTCATCATTGCTAGAGTGTAAATTATAAGGCAGGCAGTGGTTGGATACAAGTCTGGAGAAGGAGACAACAAGAGCCAAATTGAAACTATTTCCTTAGATACAAAGAAGGTGCCAGGTTCCAGTGACTGAGAACGCTCCATGTTACACCTGGAACTCCAGAATTACAGCCAAGGCCCCCATAGCAAGAAGAGTAAGAAAGGAAGTGAATGCATTCCTCCAGTTAGTCACTGTATTAGTTACCTGTTGCTGCATAACAAATTACCCCCAAAAGTAACAGGTTAAAACAACACACATTTATGATTTTGCCATTTCTATGAGTCAGGAATATAGATGTGGCGTAACTGGGTCTTCTGACTCAGAGTCTCTTACAAGACTACAGTCAAGGCGTTCACAGGGCTGCAGTTTCATCTGAAGACTTGGCTAAGGATCCACTTCCACATTTACTCACATGATTATTGGCAGGACTTAGTTCCTCATGGGTTGCTGGCACCAAAGGTATCCTTTAATTCCTTGCACCATGGTTCTCTCCATGAGGAAACTCAACAACAGAGCAGCTGACTTCATCAGAATGAGCAAGTGGAAGAGCAGAAGAGGGAAGCCTGAGTCTTTTTGTAACTTTTTTCTGAAGTTACTCCTTTGCTGTATTTTATTCATTAGAAGCAAGTGCTAGGTCCAGCCCATACTCAATGTGAGGGTACTACAGATGAATACTAGGAGGTGAGCATCATTAGGAGCCATTTTGGAAGCTGCCAACTACAAGCATACTGCTACCTCCTTTCTCCTTCTCCCTTGTCATGGTCAGCAGTAACAGCATCTTCATCATTATCATCATTGTCACCAGATCCACAGTGATTATTTACTAAACACTCCTTGTGTACCAGACTTCCATTCATAGCTCATTGATCCTCACGACAACCATATAAGAGTAAGTAATATTAGCCCCATCTCAAATATTAGGAAAGAAGCTCAGAGAGGGACTGTGATTTGCCTTATATCACACAGCCAGCAAGAGGCAGAACTAGGAGTCAAACCAAGCCCTAACTCCAGTGGTGCTCTTTACCAACCCTCCAGGAGGCAGCATCTCAGAGACAGGAAAGCCAGCCTTCCCTGGCTGTTTTCTGCTTTACTTTAATCTCACCCATACTAAAAGGCAGAATGCAGAGACAAGAGGGTGAATTAGGCCCTCTCAAAATGCGCGGGCCCCAGATAAAGGACAATGGGTGGGATCAGAAAATATCTGTAGATTAGAGAATAGTCCTATAACTATATTAATTTCCTGATTTTAATCATTGCTCTGCAGTTATATAAGAAAATGTCTTTGTTCTTAGGAAACACATACTGAAGAATTTAGAGATAAAGAGATATTATATCTATAAATCTCAAACGTTTCAGAAAAAAATTATTCGTAGGAGTGTGTGTGTATGTAGAGCGAGAACGAATGATAAAGCAAGTGATAAGCGAGATGTTAACATTTGGGAAATCTAGGTAAAGGGTATATAGGAGTTCTTTGCATAAATTTTGCAACTTGTGTCAGAAATTTTTTTTAAATAAGTTTTTATTTTTTTAAGTAATGGTCTACTCTGTGACCTGAGTCCTATCTGAACTATCAAAGATGACATTGTGGGGGTCTTACATACCTCCTTTTGACCCCAAGAAGGCAGAGACCCTTCAGAACACAGGGAGGGTATAGAGCTTACAAGCAGAATATGGTCTCTGAGGTCAGGCTGCCTGGGTTTCACTCCTGACCCTGCAGCATCTAAGGTCCCTGAGCCATATAAGTAACTATTCAGGGTCATTGAAAGGATTTGGTGAGACAAGGGAAATACTTAGACATAGTGCTTAGCACACTTCCTGGCCCATTGCGAGCCCTCCATAAATGTTGTTATTGTTGTTATTGACTCCTCAGTCATCTTACAAGTGAGAAATAATGTCTTGGGTGTGGTTTAGAAACACTGATCTGGACAGTTGTCTTGGTGCCAACTCCCTGATATGAGTTTTTGTTCCAGTGAAGGCAGAGTGGCCACTGCAGTGGGTGTAGATGTGCCTGACGAGATGAAGAGCCGAATCCCTGTGGTGCTTTTGGCCTGTGGCTCCTTCAACCCCATCACCAACATGCACCTGCGCTTGTTTGAGGTGGCCAGAGACCACCTACACCAAACAGGTAAGTCAGGGGGCCAGGTCCAATGGAAGAACTGACTGGTTGTGCCTCATGGGGCTTTTCTGGCTACTGTCATCATTACCATTATTAAAACTGCTCGGTTTATTTATTCACAGCATAACTGGTGGCATACATTTCTTCCAGCATCTTCCAAGGGGTAACACCCCTTAGCCATGTGACAAGAACAAGTTACATCCATGGCCATAAAGCTGAACCCTTCTCATGTGTCCCCACCCCTTGCCTACCTCATGTTGCCCATGAATGCTAAAGATACTGGGCACTTTATAGAACCTGAGGCTCTCTCAGAGCATCCTTTCTGGTGTAGGAAAATGAAAGCATTTACCTACACAGCCAGAAGAACAGGTAGCATGTGCCTTTGAGAACTGCTACTCTTCAGTGAGTAAGCAACTGTTCTAGAATTGACTCTTGAACAATGTAGAGAATAGGGGCATTAAACCCCCACACAGTTGAAAATCCACATATACCCTGACTCCTCAAAAAGTTAGTTGTCCCTCAGTATTCATGAGGGATTGGTTTCAGGACCCCATGTGGATACCAAAATCTTTATATGCTCAAATCTCTTATATAAAATGATATAGAATAAAGCAGAAAATAGTGTCTTCAATCCATGATTGGTTGAATCCGTAGATGTGAAATCCACAGATACGGTGAAGTGGACTCTATGTTTACTCACATATAAACGGACCCACATAGTTCAAACCCATATTGTTCAAGGGTCAGCTGTATAATAGGAATTTGACATTTTCTCCTTTGAAAGAATAGATCTTAGATGATTACAAATTAACAGTCTTGTATATAGGGTATTTCCAACACTGATGGCATGGCTTGGCCAGGAATATTTAATCTGGGAATGTTTCATTTCCTTGACTTTTCATTATTAAGAGAGTAACATGGCATTTGGAATCTACATAATTATTTCTAAAGAATGTAAGTCATTTATATATTGGTGTCAGATATATGTGAAAGTATTTATTATGTATTTATGTATATCATATATTCATATGTGTATTTTGTGTTTTTATATTGTTCAAAAGTGTTTGCCTTTAAGGCATTGTTTTTACACCAGAATCAATTCTTATTTACTTTTAATATAAAAAATTATTTGAGTAACATGTAAATCATTTCTTCAAGGAAATTATATCCAAATATTAGTTTAAAGGAGATATGCCTTTGTTTACAAACTTTTTTTGTTATTCAAAAAGTAAGAGTATGTCTAGCCTTAGTAAATAAATAGTTCTTACAAAGGAATAAAAAAAAATCCAAATAATTCCTCTAAAACTGGTCAGTGAACATTAGTAGGCAATATACCAAAGAAGAAATATAAATGGCCAGCAAACTCAGGAGAAGATGCTCAGCGTCACTAATAATCAATGAAAATGCAAATAAAAACATGATAAACACCACAAGGATATAAGCACCATGAGGGCAGCTACTGTGGCTGCTTGAGCACCACAGAATTGCCACCACTGAGCTTATAGTTCGTGCTCAATAAATACGTTGTGGGCATAAATAGTTTTAGCCAATGAGATGTGCAAAGACTAAAAATTGACAAAATTCAGTGCTGGCAGGATGAAGAAGGAAATAGATACTCTCATATCTTGATAGTGATAGGATAAATGCTAAAACATTTTTGGAGGGCAATTTGCTATTCTGTGACAAAAAAAAATTTTTTTTGAACTCTATACCCATACCCGTAATGAGGAGAAAAGTCAATCAATCAAAACTGAACAAGAACTGACACAGATGTTAGAACTAGCAGATAGGGACATTAAAACAGTTACTATAATTATACACCATATGTTTAAAAATTAAGTAAAGACATCAAAAGTATAAGAAGGACTCAAATATCTCGAAATGAAAGCTACCATACGTAAGATGAACAATACACTGGGTAAGATTAACAATAGATGAGACATTACAGGAAAAAAAGGTTAGTGAACTTGAAGATATAACAATAGAAACTATCTAAAATGAAACAGAGGGAAAAAAAGAATTTTAAAAAAGAAAGAAAAGAATATCAGTGAGTTATGGGACAACCTAAATTATATTTATTATACTTGTAATTGGAAACCCAGAAGGAAAAAAAAAGGAAGAACAGAAAAGATATTTGAAGAAATAATCACTGTAATTTTCTTCAAATTGAATGAAAACAAATTTCATCAAGTAGCTCAATGAACATATCTAATTAGCTCAACAAACCCCAAGCATGAGAAACCTGAAGAAAACAACACTAAGATATATATGATAACCAAATTTCTCAAAACCAGTAATAAAGAGAACATTTTAAAGGCAGCTACAGAATAACAAAGATAAGGAGGATAGCAGATTTCTTATCACTGAATTAAGCAAAAGGAATTCAGTGGAACAAATCTTTAAAGTACTGAAAGGAAAAAAAGCTGTCAACTTAGGATTCTATATCCAGCAAAAATAGCTTTCAAAAACCAAAGGCAAAATAAGGACATTTTCAGATATGCAAAAGGTGAGTTTACCATCAGCAAACCTGCCCTACAAGAAATGCTAAAGTCCTTCAGGCAGAGGGAAAATGGTACCAAATGGAAATATGAATCTACACAAAGGAATACAGAGCACTAATAACCACATGGGCAATTATATTTTTTTCTCATTATTTAAATTTTTTTCTCATTATTTAAATTTCTTTAAAAGATAATTGACTGTTTAAACTAAAAAGTTGATAATATATTGTGGGGCCTAAAACATACTTAGAAGCAAAATATATGACAACAGTATCATAAAGACTCAAGAGGCGAATGGAAGAATACTATTGTAAGGTTCTTATACTATAAATGAAGTGGTATACTATCATTTAAAAGTAGACTGTGATACATTAAAGATATATTGTAAACCCTAATGCAACCATTAAAATAAAAAGAGTAAACAGTCATAGCTAATAAGCATGCAAAGGAGATAAAATAGAATCATAATATACTCAGTTAATACAAAAGAAGAAAGAAAGAAAAGAAAGGGGGACCAGAGAATAGACACAACGAACAGAAAGCAAATAACAAAATGACAGACTTAAACCTAACCAAATCAATAATCACATTAAATATAAATAGTCTAACAACTCCCACTAAAAGGCAGGCATTATCAGATTGGATAAAATAATCAAGACCCAACTACAACTATACGATGCCTATGTTGTCTGCCGTGACGTTTGTCAGGACGGGATCTGTAATCTGCTTTCTAGAATGTGTTGCTTCACAGACAGCTACGTCTACACACTGTATTGGGGACTTCAATGTTACACCTGCAGACTCTCTTTGTCCACATGGTAAGGCTCTGGCATGGCCCAGTGAGGTGTCAGAGTGTATTCCTGGTCCCCAAAGGTCATAGTAACCATAGAATGCATGGGTAAAAATTAATCACGTGGATACAGTATATATCATTTCTACCACTTGGTGTATTGATAAGTAGAGGGGCTTTGGTCACAAATGATCTGCAGCACCTTTTTGCCTTTATTCTTAGTCATTCCTCTATGGAAAGTACTTGGTCATTTTGAAAGTCCAGAATGGATTCTCCTGCCTGTGTCTTTGAATGTTATACATTGGATTGACACATTTCAACATCCCACAGATATTTACTGTATTTCCCCGGGCCAGGCACTATGCATGGAAATAGAATTGATTAAATTGCATTCCCTGCCCAAAAGGAATGCACAGAGTAGGTGGCTAAAGACACATGAGAACAGGTGATTGTGTTGCTAGGTGCAAAGGAGGGATGTCTCCCAATTGAAGCTGGGGGAAAGTTCTTGAAGGAGGTGACACCCAAGTCTTGAAGAATGTGAAAGACTTAGGTAGGCACAGTTTAGTGGGGGTCATGGGCAGAGAAAGCAGCACAAGTAAAACGTGAAGGTGGAAGAGAATCACATTCTAACACTTAGGAAAGAGACAAAGCTGATAAGGCAGGGAGGACTAGGTCATGGAGAAGGGGACTTTCTTGCCACCAAGAGGGGTATGTGGTGTGAATTTGCCTTCTCTGCACAGTCAGACATCATCTCTCCCTACTCAGTCCCAGTCAATTGATTGCAGCCTCCCACAGCCAGCAGACCTGTGTGCCGAGCAGTAACTCGACCTGTCGTCTCTCCAGGGACAAATATTTAAACAGGGCCTTTTCTCTAAATCAGAATCAGCTCACGATTAAGACTGGATGAAAATCTGACCCCACAGGTGACTTTCTTTTTTCATGAAGAAAACTTAATCTTCCTTCTGTTGGTGTGTTTTCACTAAAACAACCCACAATTTAAATTTGATATTGCAAGCATATAAATTGAATCAAACAATCTACAGCAATTTGTTTCATACCTTTAAAGAGAAATTAATAGCGTCTTCCTAGTTTGCTGCAATAGCTCTAATTTTGAACTCTTTCCTCTTTCACAAGCATCCCTTCTTCAAACTAGTTGTCTTTCCTTCCCTCGTTTGCGTCTTCCTTTTTCTCCGGAAACAAACTAAAATATTAAAAACTGACAGAGGCACTATGATATATCAGAACTTTTAACTATCTTTATTCCTGTGATGACATACCCCTTTGTAATGAAAAAATTATATATTAGATGAAAACTTAGATCCATAAGATTTTCATTAATACACTGACAAAGTCATACATGCTCAAAGGATAAAATGTTGAACCAGCTATTTTTTTACCCTCTTTTACTTGAAAGAATGTTTGGGAATCAGATACGGGCTTGTAGGAATGTGTGGTGTCTGTGGATTTTCTGTATTTTATAGTGTTTCCTTTAATCAGAGGTACTTGCTTGCCTTGCACTGCATGCCGTGTGGGTCGTTCACAGGGAGGATTTGCCAAGGCTTGATGGATGAATATGTGTAATAGGCATGGGTGGTTTTGAAAAGTTCATTTAGTATTTTTATTCTTGGTTTGCTGAATTTTGACAGAAATGATTCGGCCCAACATATAACTAATCAGTAGCATCAGATATACCTAAAGCATTCATGGACTATACTGAG